AACGATGGAATGGGCGGACGTGCACCAGAGCCTGCACCACGATCACGCGGCGTTTTGGGCGCCGCAGGAGACGCGGCGCGGCGCCTTGCGGGCGTCGAACCGGCGGTCGCCGCGGTCCCGGTCCGCGCCGCCGTCGAAGACGGAGGCGGCGCCGCCGAAGCTGCAGCGCCGCGACAGCCTGCCGCCGCCGTCGACGCCGCGGAAGGAGCCGCCCAAGGCGCGCACGCCGAGCACGTCCGCGAAGTGGCTCGGCGCCGGGTCCTGCGTGATCCTCGACGAGTACGCGGCGACCGCGACGCCCTCGCGGCCGGCGACGTCGCCCGCGCCGGACCTCGGCGGCGTCGTGGCCACGGCGCTGGACCTGGCGCACGTGCCCCTCGCGGAGCCGACGACGCCGAAGACGCCCGAGGGGGGGCTGCCGCGCGCGGAGCGCATGGTCTCGGCCGACTTTGAGGACGCGGGCGCCGCCGCGCCTCCGCTCGCGCTCGGCGGCGACGACGCGGCCCCGGCGCCGCCGGACCTCGAGGTCGCGCTCGCGGCGGTGTCGACGCCGCCGGTCGTCGACGGGGCGGCGACGGCGACGCCCCGCTCGAGCCCGCCGCGGACGCCGAGGAGCTTCCTCCGCGAATTGCGCGCCTTCGAGGCGAAGGCGCTGATCCTCGACGAAGCGACGACGGCGCTCGTCCCTGAAGAGGCGACGACGCCGCAAGAGGAGACGGCGCCTCTCGTCCCCGAAGAGCCCCTCGTCCTCGAAGAGGCGACGACGCCGCAAGAGGAGACGGCGCCTCTCGTCCCCGAAGCGCCCCTCGTCCTCGAGGAGGCGACGACGCCGCCGAGCCTCGAAAAGGAGCCCCGGCCGGCGGTCCGGCCGTGGGCGGCGCCCGCCGCGGTCCTGGTCCTCGCGGTCGCCGCCGCCTGCGTCCTCGCCTCCCCGGCGGCGCACCCGATCGTCGCCGACGACGTCGCCGCCGCGGCGCCCCGACGCGCGGCCGCGGCCCCGCCGCTCCTGCTCCCGCCGCCGCCGCCA